GGCAAAGACTTCATTTTGCTTGGATCAACATTCATGGAAGCAGCAGTTAAGAAATCAAACGATGTATTACATTAGGCAAATCTGCACAAGCGTTCTTTAAAGTGTACAAGAGTAAAGATAACAATTTGAAGATGACCCAAGCGATGGTATTTTCAATCACTTCATGGTAGTGGAGGTAGTGGTGTGCCACGCAGTAGGTTCCGACTCATAATGTCCCTGTATAAGGGTTCTGAAGCTGTAAATCTTTATGGGACCAGAAAGCCTCATCTTTCTTCCACAAAGCAAGTGGTAGATTCAAACCACTGACCTCGCAGGTAGCAGCCCAGCTTGTAATCCACTGCACTACCAAGGCTCCTTTCAGTCACCTAACAGACATGTGAAAATTGGACAATTAATAAGGAAAGACTGTAGCAGATGGATGCATTTAAATTATGGTGTTGGAGAAGAAAAAGAATTCTGTATTTGAAGATGTACAGCCAGTTGCTCATTGAAGGCAAGGATGGCAAACCTTAGTCTCCTAATTCAGACATATTATCATAAGAGACCAGTCCCTGGAGAAGAACATCAGGCCTGGTAAAGTTGAGGGTTAACAAACAAGATGGACTGACGCCGTGGCAGCAGCAGTGGGCTCAAACATAACAACAATTGTGAGGATGGCTCGGAACGGGGTAGTGTTTTGTTCTGTTAAACATAGGATCGCTATGAGTCGGAATCATCACAACGGCACTGTTCAACTACATACAGCACAGGGTTACTGTGCATCAAAATCAACCCAGAGGCACACAACACTGTAGTAAGATTTGTACCCGAAAGTGGAATTATTGAATCATATCCTTCAACTTGACTGTTGTTGTTGTTAAATAGGTCCCGATGCATAGTAACCCTGTATAGGGTTTCTGAGGAGCAGCTGCTGCTTTGAGCCCCCAACCTTGCAGTTAGCAGTACAGTGCTTATCCTACAGCGCCACACCAGAACTTTACCAGATGGTATCACATTGCTTTCCTAAGTGGCTAAACTCATTTACACTCATACAGAAGTATCCCAGAGTTCCACTTTGCCATGTCCTTGCCATTGCTTGCCACTACCTTGCTTTTTTCCTATTTTCCAACTTCATGGGTTTATGATTGTCTCATGGACTGTGTGTGCATTCTCATATACTAAGGAAGTTGAGTATTGCCATCTCTCGATGAATATTAGGCATTTGGGGTTCCCCGTCTATGACATGTTGGTTTTGTTCGCTTTTTTTTAATTTCTAACTACTCTTGGTATATTGTGGCTATCCTTTGTAGATTATAGAGTAAGTATATGTCTTCCTGGGCTCCTTTTAGTCTGCTCCACCACCATTTCAAGAGCGTTGCATCAGGTTGCATGGCAACACTTCCTTCCCACCAAAATGGTGGGGAGCTGGAGGCTGCGGTTGTCACTATTGGTCCAATCTTAGTTCTCTGGCTCACCAGGCTGCAAGGGAGGCTGGGAAGCCTGGCCTGTATTCCACATAGCTGTTTAAAAAGCCAAACAAGTTGACAACTTGTAGCAACTATGTGTGTTTCAGAGTAGAAATGTGTGATTCCTTAACAACTGAAGCGTAACCCAGCAATCACAAGTCTAATATACCCAGAAGAAGTGAAGGCGGGAACACAGACACTTTTCTCAATGTCCAAAAGGTGGAAACAACCGAAATGCCATCAACAGATGGCCAGCTAAGCAGTATCCACATGTGGGGTGGTGTTGTTGAATGCCATCAAGTTGGTTCCAACTCATAGCAACCCTGTAGAGGGTTTCTGAGGAGCGGCTGGTGAGTTTGAACCGCCGAACTTGCAGTTCAAACTGACCTTGCGGTTCAGCACAGCTCCATACAGCGCCATACCAGGATTTTGCAGCCATAAACAGCAACAACAAATGAAGGCCTAATGCCTGCCACAAACTTGGAGAACATTATACTGAGTGAACGAAGTCAGTTGCAAAAGGGCAGAAATTGTCCAAAGGAACTTCAAAATGTCCGTGAAAAAATTCTATTTTTTTCACAGACATTTGGAAGCCCTTCAGTATGATCTCATTTCTATTAAATAAGCAAATGTATAGACACCAATGATTACTAGAGTTAACAGGGAGAGAAAAGGGGCAGTTTTTTGTTTTGTGGGGGTGAGAGGGGAGATGTCAATGCTGCTGTAACAGAAATACCAAAAGTGGGGGACTTTAACAGACAGAATGTATTTTCTTACAGTTTAAGAGGCTGAAGTCCAAATTCAGGGTACCAGCTCTAAGTGAGGGAAGACTTTCAGAGAAAAGGTTCTGGCCTATTCTTAGCGTCCATTTCTCAGTGTTGCCTAACCTGATCACTTTGTATTTGGAAGGTGATGGGCACAAGGTACTCGCACACAACAGACAGCTTTTGTAACATAACAAAGAAGAGGTCCTGCCCTCACATGGGATTACATCCACAGGCATAGGAGCTCAGGATTTACAGCACATGTATTGGGGGACAGAACTCAATCCAGGGAATCCTGGTGTGGCACTGTAGGATAAACACTCTACCTCAACGTTGGCTTAAACCCAAAGGCTGGCGGTTCAAACTCACCAGCCTTTCCTCGGAAACTCTGTACAGGGTCCCTGTGAGTCAGAACTGTCGCGACTGTACTTAGCCACAGTAACAATTCAATCCATACCAGGGGGACACCGAGTTTATGTTAATGTTGGTGGGATTGTTTTGGGAAAGGTTAGTGATGATGGTGCTACAATAGGAAAATCTAATCAATGTCATTGGAGTTGTGCAGGCCAATGTTTGGTTGTGTATATTGTCACTAAAACTGCCAATAGCTGTGACCTTTGGGAAGTAGGTCACCAGATCTTTCTTCCAAGGTACCCTGGTGAGTTTGAACTGCCAGCCTTTTTGGTTGGCAGTCAGACACTTCACCATTTACAACACATGGCCCAAATGCAAATTGAAAGGACCAAGGAGGCCACTGGTGGATTTAAAGTCTTTGAAAGATTTAGTGGCTGCTGCAGGTTAATGCGCCAGACTGTAAAGCTGTTTCAACTGCAAGGTCGGCAGTTCAAGCTCACCAGCTGATCCTCGGAAACCCTAGACAGGGTCGCTTTGGGTCGGAACTGACTCTATGGCACTTCACAACAATAATAATAATCATAGTCCTGGAGTCCTGGTGTGGCACTGTGGGTTAATGCTCCAGACTACAAAGCCATTTGAACTGCAAGGTTGGTGGTTCAAGCTCACCAGTGCCTCCTTGGAAACCCTATACAGGGTTGCTATGGGTCGGAACAGACTCAACAGCACTTAACAACAACAAAACATCAGAGTCCTCGTATGGCACTGTGGGTTAATGTGCTGGACTGCAAAGTCAGTTTGAACCTCAACCACAAAGTCAGTGGTTTGAGCTCACCTTGGAAACCCCATACAGGGTCACTATGGGTCAGAACCGATTCGAAGGCACTTAACAACAACAACAACAGCATAGGAGATATAATTACTTCAATTCATAGTTGTCACTCAGGAAAGAAGCCTTTCTCTGATAAATATAAATAGCTGTTCTATTTTATTAAAAAGTCACCTTGAAAGAGCTCATAATATTTTGAGTTGCCAAACATGCTTTGCTTTTTATTTTCAGAAATGCATTTGTGATTATCAAGGAAAATATAAAGAGGGACTAGTAGGAAATGAGATGACTCTAAATACTGACATGAAATTTACATGTCATTGTTTTCAGTTAATTGGTCAGGAAAAATGGCACATTCATGGTTTTTATAGCATTTTGAGCAGCATAGAATCTTAATTACTAGAGAATGTCCTGAAACAGGCCATTAACATTTGTATTTGTCAGATTAACATTCAGTTTAAGCTAAAGTGTACAAATTAAATGATGTCAATTTTTAAATGGTTGTTGTTGTTAGGTGCCATGAGTACAGACTCATAGTGACCGACCCTGTGCACAAGAGAATGAAACAACCTCACAATCATTGCTACCCCTGAGCTCATTGCTTCTGCCACCGTGCCATTTTATCTCTTGGGGGTCTCCCTCTTTTTCTCCCACCCTCCACTTGATCAAACATGATATCCTTCTCCAACGACTAATGTCTCCTGACAATATGTCCAAAGGATGAGAGACGAAGTCTTACCATCCTGGCTTCCAAGGAGCACTCTGGCCGTACTTCTTTCAACACAGATCTGTTTGTCCTTTTGGCAGTC